AGGTCTCAAGTCATCTCAGCAATCTGGCCTTCCAATAATCCTATCTAAATTACCCACAACTAATTTCCTCACATCAATCCTTAGTATTTCCTCATGGAATTTATCACTATGAAGTTAGCTTGTTTTGTTGTTTACTGTTGATTTGGTTTTATAGAATGTAAGCTCCATGAGAGCAGCAGCCTGCTTTATTTTAATAGTTAATCTCCAGCACCCACATTTGCACCCACAATAACAATATTTATTAAGCAGATACATATTACGAGCTTAATAAATATTAAGCAAATGAATATNAGTGTTCTTTAAATTAGTAGTTTAAATTGAGTAATTTAACTTAGAAAATTAATTCAAATTAGTCTTTTCAAATAAAAAAATCTGTATATTAATGAATCAGAATTGAGGTATAATGGCAAGTCTTTTGAACATCTTCAATTTTATGCATATAAAAAATTAAACCTGGAAAGTATAAGTGACTTGGTCATTGCTATTAAGTAGCAAGGCTCAAATAGGTATCTAGGTCAATTTTTTTCTATACATTTGAAGAGCTCAAGTCAGTATCAATATTCCACTACGAGTACTCTTAAGGAAGGGTATCAATATTTAATTCTAAAATTATTTAGATTTTTTTTTTTTACTGGTAAACACCTAAAAGAACAAAAATGTAGAAAATACACATTTAGCACTACAAATGCAAAGCCCTGACACACAATGCATAATAAAAGATAGGATTTTTCCAGCAGCAATTAAGACTATAAAAAACTTAACAGCCTAAATAAAAATTTGTTAACAATATAAAGAAAACAATTACAGACTTCAAAAAAGATCGAAATAAATGGCAAATCACATGTTCCCACATGAAAAGATTATAAATATAAAATCCCTCCTAATTAATCTATAAAAACTATATAATATTGTCACTCAAAAATCCAATCTACTAGAGGATATTTTGACATGCTGATTCTAAAAATCATCTGAAAAACATAGGCAAGAGCTACGAAGTTTTCTGAATAAGACCAACAATGAGGAATTTACTCAATTACTAAACTTCATTAAGAAAACATGAAAATCTATTACTATAGTAATTTTTCACTTACCTAAGTGACAAAAATGTAAATATTAAGAATATCCAGTAATGGCAAATGTGGAGGAAAAGCCATCTACTACACAGTAATAGTAAGAAAGATAGTCTATGACCTAGATAGTCTTTGTTGGAATCTATCCTAGCAAAAAGCTACCCCAAAGGAGCCTCCCCTTCCCACAGAGAAGGAGGAGCTGTACCCAATGTCAATCATGTACTCAGGGGATCATGGGGCATAAAGTTTCTAGGTGTTCAGGCCTGGAATTTCCTAATGCCCCAGGAACAGCTTGTATCTAAGCTCACACTACTTGGTACCAAGTCCACAGTGTTTAGCTACCTGCAAGGCCACTCCTGCTTGCCCTGTAAGAAGAGAAAACATAAGTGGGTGGAGGTACCTCTGCTGAAGCACCTGCATTTTGAAAAGCTCACCTCTTTGCAGAATGTCAAATATATAAGAACTTGGGTGCTTGCTGATCCTTATCTCCATAAATTCCAACCTGCACCAAGTAATGTTTATTGATTTTTCACCCAAGGACCCTTTACCCAACAATATTCAGCATTGTTTAAAATATTCAAAAATAATACCCACAACAGAAATAAAACTGAAGACCCCTAAATGCCTGGAGAGAAACAGTGAAATGTTTACTATACATTCTTAACATGGAATTCCATATAAACATTAAAAACAGTGAAATCTATATAAACTGGCATAGATGGATATCCATGAAGTCCTTTTGAATAGTGGGAAACAGAACAAGTTGCAACCAATATTTTTTTTGTTTTTTGTTTTTTTAGCTGAGCCATCCTGCCACCTGTTGGCAGCTCAGCGGCAGCTCAGCTTGG